GGAGAAGATGGATGGATGGATGGATTAGTTGTTTTCCTTTTGTTTATCTTTCTCCAACCGAGTTTTATAATCTTGCTGATTTTTAACTGTCTCTCTTGTGCCGGACAGGTGCTGTGGGCTCGAGGCAGCAAACCCAATCCCTGGTGGTGGTGTTCTTCACGTGTTCGTTTTATTTGGTGTGCAGTGTCACGGGTGATTTTGATTTGACCCCTTCCTCCCCATTTTGTTAATTGCCGCCTTGGTAAGCCCCAGCACTGTCCTTCTCCCTCCTCCCTTGAGAACTTTTAGAAAATTATATTGCTTATTATTAGAAATGCAATTATGTATAAATAAAATAACCATTGTGGTAATATCCTTTACACTGTCTCTGCCTGTGGTGTTCAAATGAACCTGATTTCATTTTATTAAATTGGATACATTTTGTTTTTAGTAATTTCCTTGGGGGGAAACTCCCCCAGGTGGCGTTTGTCAGCAAACCGAGCATTTTATACGAGCACCACACTGCCACAGTAGCATAACATTTAAATATTCAAGCAAAGTACAATTACCTCAAAATGGTACTTTAGTACAGTAAATTAGTAAATGTACTTAGTACATTTCCACCACTGAATAACATAGACATGCCTAAGAGCACTTAGGCGTTCAATATCTTGCCAACAGATTGACTGCAGGGGCTGGGGTTCGAACCACTGAACCTCTGATAGACACCCATTTACCCCTCCAATACCTCAATCACACCAACGGTGTTTCAGGGCCGGTTCGGAGCTGGAGCTTGAAAAGCACCGGGTTGTCCTGTTCACACCGTGGCGGAGCAGCCTCTTAGCTCCGGAATCCGGTTTGTTTCAAGCACCAACAAATTGTCCCGCTAGAGCAGTGCTTCTCAAAGTGTGGTCCGGACCACTGGTGGTCTGTGAGGGGCCCCTAGTGGTCCGTGAGTATATTGGTAACATTTTTAATTAATTAATTAATTGTCCGCACTCTCGCGGGAATATCTCCGCAATGGAGCGAGCTTAAGTTTCACTTTCGAATGCATGATATAGCCCAGATAAACACCTTAATCACACATGTTGCCACTTGTTTGTACCATTTTCAGGCGATTTGTAAAAAACGATGTGTTTTTGGATATTTGTGGAGTTAGGTGGTCCGCAAGTGTTTTTGTATTGGTTAAGTGGTCCTTGGTATGAAAAGGTTTGAGAAATACTGGGCTAGAGCAAAAGCACCGCATACGTCACGCTTACATCGAGGCGGGGGCAGGAGGAATCTAAATCGTCGTTGAAGTTGATGATTACGATTGTAAAGCAGTTTTGAATGCAGCATGTAACGACTGTAAAGTTGGTAGTAAAGTCGTCCCATTTCTTCCATTTCGTTTAGACAGAGCAAAACCAAAACGAGTAGCGCTTCAACACAATCGGCCGTTGTTGTTGTTGTTGTCGGTGTGAGCTGTGAGGGGTTTCCGTTTCCGCGCGGTTTGGCTTTATGAAGCAGGCAAGCAAACAGTTACGTCATGACGCAAACGATGACGCAATGATGCAGCACCAGTCGGACTCTGGGCAGTGTGAAAAGAGCCGGAGCTAAACCGAAGAACCGGTTCTGAACCTGAAAAGCTCTAGCACGGAGCTTGGTTGCGTTGGTGCGAATGAGGTACAACTGTTTGTCTTGTATTGACACAGTGAGAGACTACAGCTGTAGTGGAACATTTAGCAGTTGAAGATAATCCTCTCAGGAGTTTGAGACCAAACCAGAGGTAGAAGAGAAAATATTCGCATCACCATGTGGACAAAAACACAAAGACTCCTGATGAATGATAATATATATATACTGTATATAGTTCTGTGTCGACTGGATTTGTCAATAAATAGGCAACTGCTTGCTTTAATTGAATGCAGTGTTTCAGATATAGCATGTTTCAACGCTCTACTGTCAGTCTGCCCTGCACTTTCTCCAATCCCCATCCTGCCCAGCCCTGCTGAGTGTTCAGCAGACTGCAGGCTGTTCTTTAGAGAGTGTTCAGTGAGACAGAAGGAATTCTGCTGCTCTGCACTCAGAGGATTCAGAGAGTCCACGGAGCGGTAGGACAAGAATACCCTCATACAGAAAGAAGACCAAGAAGAGCAACGTTGTCTGTCTTGGATTAGTAAATAATCATCATCATCAGTTATATTTGAAAACTGGAATATGCTTCAAGACTTCGTGAAGCAAACAAAAAGTTGTCAAAATTGGATTTGAAAACACAGCAGTAATTGGAAGTTATAAATTGGATTCTACATCACCGTGGCGACAGTAGCCAGGATCTAAATCCCTTATTTCCGTGGTAGCAGGACTGTTGGAGGGGCCATGCTTTACTTCCAGGTGGTGATCCTGGCCGCTGCAGCCATGCTGGCGTACTACTTTGAGTTCACGGACACCTTCAGCCCCGCCCTGCAGGGCTTCATCTGCAGGGACCCCAGCCTCACCAAACCAGACCCCGGCCCCGAACAGGACGGCCGTCTGCAGCCCGTCATACTGTTCTCTGTGGTGGGGGGGCTGCCTGTGGTACTGGTGAGTAGTAGTAAACTCCCTCTGGAGGGAACACAGGGATTTATTTATCATTTGCAGACCATTTAACTGTACCAAAACCTACTGTATAGAACCCAACAAACAATATTACGTCCTCTTTGACAGCATAATGCCCTAATTGAATTTTTAAAAGCGCTAACAGAAGGTAGTTTCAGACTAAAATACGACCAAATTGACTTATCAAACATAATTCATTCAATGTTAAAGGTGGGGTAGGTAAGTTTGAGAAACCGGCTCGAGATACACTTTTTGTTATATTCCATGGAATGCTCTTAACATCCCGATAGCAATGAATATCTTAAGTGGTTTGACAAAAAATCCATTAAAAAATGTCATCTCTGGAAGCCGTAGTACTGTAAAAAGCACGACCAATCATTTTAGCCGGCCCAGCTAAAATAACTGGATGGCCTACCTGCCTGTCAGCCTTCCATCTGTGCAAAAACTTATCTCGTGCCCTCATTGGTCATGTGCGCGTTTGTGTTTGTTGGAGGAGGGGCTCTGTAAGGAAGTGGACGATTTTGTTCCGGCTGTGTTTTTTCAAATTCTAGCGCACTCGAGCGGGTTCTCCAAAATTACATACCCCACCTTTAAGGCCTGTCGCTACCATTTGCCGGCTTCAAATAAAGCTGGAACCCTCTGCAGTTTAATATTAGTTCCTGTTCACTTTTTAAGAAATTACCATTTAAGTCTAGAAGAGTAATAACTACATTTTTTGTAGATCTACTTTAGCACACCCATAGCCTAAATGCACCTATGCATGACCCTCACTAGATATTATGCACTTATCACCTCAGTTAAATGCCTGTGTTGATAATTTGCTTTTCGTCCAAGGAGAATATCTGAGTCGACCTTTTTTCTTGGCAGGTAGAGTAATATGCATGTGTATTATGCGTGATCGTCGAATATTTGGGGATTTATCGTTTATTCTAGTGGGAGGGACGGTAAACAGAGGAAACGCTTTCGGGCCTTCAAATAGGAACTCCAACATTTAACAGACCAGTGCTGTGACTTTATTACCCTTTCAAGGACAGACTTTATAGTAGCTTTTATAGTGCTGGCTCCGTATAGAGAATCACATACAGCATGGTGGAGAGGCAGGTGCTCAGAGCATGAAGCCAACAACTGACCGCTGGGTTTAAAATGTCACAGATCTTCTGCATCAATGCGCAGTGGTGTTCCTTTAAGTTTAAACCCGCCTCAAAGTGGCCCACGTGTTCATTATTGTGAGGGAACTAATAGTTAGCTATAGTGAATTTAGAAGACGACATGTTTCTCCATGGTTTTAAATGCAGGTGAGTGCATGTGTGTGCCAGTTTTGGTTATTTAATTCCAATTATTACTAAGTATTTCCATCCCAAAGCATTTTTTTCTGTGTCCCTCAGATTTCAGGTGTGGAGCTTGTTATCTTCCTCCTTCACTACAACTCAGACAACCTGTACGACCAGGACAAGGTTGTTGTCATGGGAGACTGTTGCTACGTGAACCCTATGGTGCGCAGGACCTTCCGTTTCCTTGGTAATATAATTACAAAATTAAACCCACTTTGAGCTGTTATTTTCATTCATAATGTCATATTTAATTGTGGTTCAATTATACTGAAAACCATTTTTGAATCAGCGTTAGGGTTAGTCATCAGTCATTAAATGGTGATACTGATGTAGGAAGATCGTAGACAATTACTTTATAAGTAGGTGCTTAGTCACTTTGTAGTTGTAACATGCTATTATGATGTCGCTGTGACTTGATGTTTAATATGGTTTCTGTGCAACATAGAGGTGGTAATAGAGAAAGCACTTTGACTATAGACTTGTCTTTATAACAAGATATTTAACAAGCTGCATTGTCTTGATACAATGACATGATTTGCAATCAGACATTTGTTTGCTAAAATGTCAACACTTATAATATTTTTCGAATCTTGGGGGAATACATCTACCATTAATTTCACATTAAGAATTTGGTATTTAAAATAAAATTGCTGAAGTATTTTTAAATGTGCCTCACAAGATTGTTTTGACTTGTTTTGAAAACAAAATTTTGATTAAATGATTGTACCTTTGGGCTGCGGTACCAAACAATCAACATTTTTGATTAGCATAACGGCTAGCATCCGTTTGTGTCAGCGATGTTGGTAGTGCTACTTTTTTAGCTAGCATGATTCCTTCATACATAGATGTGTGTGTGACAGTAGGTGTCATGCTAACATACATGCATACACTATTTGAGATAATAAAGACCATGCTACCTTTAATGCTAATTTAGACCTTTGTAGATGCATTGGTTCAAAGTAATTTAGCACATCAACTAGTATAGAAATTGAGGAAATGTGATACTTTACTTTAATTTCAAGTAAATGGGAGGGAAATGGAATACATTTGACTTCAATAGATTATTTTCGAAAGTTATAATAGTTACTTTACAAATTAAGACTTTACATAGAACATATGATCTTTTTAAACATCATGCATTGGTTTAGAGTAAACTATGCAACATTATATAAAATAATGCAACTAAGCTCCACCTCAACCAAACCTCAAAAATTGTAATCAAAAGTGTAATCAAATGTTGCTTTTATCTGTTATGGCCTGGATTAACACTGTTAGCTATGTTTCTGTTGAAAGCATCATTAGCTGCTTCTTTATTTGTGCGCAGCTTTAAGTAAAGGATTTAAATACAGAATAATATCACCAATGTGTGGATGTGAGTCATTTATTTTAGCTTGATTTCATCTCATCTTTGTGTGTTTTTCTGCAGGTGTGTATATCTTCGGTCTATTTACAACAGACATCTTTGTCAGCGCAGGTCAGCTGGTCACAGGAAGTCTGGCTCCTTACTTCCTGTCTGTTTGCCTGCCCAATTACACTGCCCTCGGCTGCCTGGACACGGCTAACTTTGTCAGCCAATCAGATGCTTGTACTGGTGATGCTGATGACATCATGAGAGCCAGGAAGACGTTCCCCTCCAAAGAGGCTGCCCTGAGTGTGTATCCAGCTGTGTATCTGGCAGTGAGTGGACCAGCGGTGTATCTACCCTTACAGTACAGCATTGAGCCTTGTCACACAGTAAAACACTCGTCCTTGCCAGATGTACAACATATCCTGTGTGGGATCCAGTGGAGGTCTCCTGACGGGCCCCCTCCTCAGCCTCTCATTGGTCAGTACAGCTATGCTCAAAGGCATCAACAGAATGGCCGAGCACCAAAACCACTGTGATGTCATCGCAGGACAAGCCATCGGAGGCGCTATCGCTGTCTTTCTGGTCTGTTATCATTCATTTTATTTATATATTTTTTTATGCGTGTCCATACATCTAATGACACTCACACTTTTCACTGCTTCATTGCCATTAAAATTCCCCTTCGTGATCAATCTAACAAACTGTGTTTTGTCTAACTTTTTACTAAGACCACACTTATGTTTTAAGTTATAGATCTGTCTGCAAAGATAAGACACTTCGTTCTTATAATCTGTAGGAAATGAGACCTAAAGCTCTGAAATGAGTCCGCTTTTTACCACTTCCGGGTCCTTTGTCTCAAAGTCATCGTTTTTTGTGATCATGTTTTTAGTTAGAGGGCTGAAATAAGGTCTGCGTGATTGACATTTTTCACATTTTGTCCTACGGCATAAAATACCTCAGTATATATCACACTGGTGAATGTCTGACGCTTCTATTTGTCTTAAAAAGATACTAAGTTAGACGACTAAATATCATTACGTCAAACATTAGCCGCCTTTAGCTTAGCGGTGGTGATGTGAAGTCACGTGATCGTGATGTAATTTTTGTAATAGCCTAACGTTAGCTTTTTACTTATGTCTATTGCATTTACTCCTATTAGAAAGTGGTGTTAATATGTGGAGATTACCCTTCGACACAAAAAGTGTACGTATCATAAACCTGTGTTTCTCACAGATCCCAACTGCTTTCACTCCCAGGGCCTCAAATACTAAAGCGTGTCATGTCACAAAGAAGCTTGCAGCACCTAAACATGAAATTTGTGGTGTCAGTCCTGATTATCACAGAGCAGAGCCACTGCACATCATGTGTGTTCAGAGAGTCAGACCACTGCACATCATTTGTCTTCAGAGAGTCAGGCCACTGCACATCATGTGTGTTCAGGCTCTCTAAAACACAAAACTGCTCTAATGGACTAAACAGCTGCAGGACACACACACACTGCTGTTGCATGAATATACTTGAATTCTTCTTTTGTGTACGTGATGGGAACAAAAACTTGGGTCACAGAAACATGTCTCTGTTTTCTGTCACTGTATTCTGGTATTCTTTTTTGATCATGCAGAAATGTTATTCTAATATGACAGTGTCTGTTTTCTTCTCTCTTTCTAGGTGGTGTTTGTGGTTCAGTATTTTAAAAAGAGACGTGTGGTTTCTCACAGTCTCTCAGATTCAGGCACAGCTGACACTGATGAAGCCTCAGCTCAGACCAATCACTGCATGGACGTCAGTGACAAATACACAGTTCCTCAGGTAGCTAACATGATACATATCAAAAGCTAAATGTCTGTACTGAATGTTTCCCAGGCTTTAAACCAGGGGTGGGGAACCTTTTTCCTCTCAAGGGCCATTTAAATTTTTTCAACATCCTCCGAGGGTTGTACAAATGATTGACCTCAGCTTAAAAAAATTAAAATCACAGCCCATTCATTTGGCCTTTCTTTCATGGTGTGCAAACAAAAAGCAACCTCTTAGTCCAGATATCTTACCATGACAGTAGTAATATTCATCCCGCTTTCGTCTCATTAGTATGCATAAAAAGTGACAGGTGATGTGACAGGTCACACCTCTCCCTACTTATGCTAATGAGCTAAGTCCCGCCTCCCCTTTGATCGAGGTGTGAGATCTCAAGTAGGTGTGATATCCCAAGTAGGTGTGAGATCCGTCGATAGGAGGGGGGTGATGTGTATTCACAGGTGTGAAAAGCCCCCACTGTTGCGCCTTATGGTGTATAATAAAAAATGTTTCAATCACATTAGTATGCATAAAAAGTGACAGGTGGGCCCCAAGTGTGTGTGTTTGTGTGTGTGTGTGTGTGTGTGTGTGTGTGTGTGTGTGTGTGTGTGTGTGTGTGTGTGTGTGTGTGTGTGTGTGTGTGTGTGTGTGTGTGTGTGTGTGTGTGTGTGTGTGTGTGTGTGTGTGTGAATCATTAACGAATGTCTTCACATGGAGATGAAGACTCCTGTCTCTTAACACCCAAGGTCCTGCAGTCGGCTGAGGCTGTAAAAGTATAGAAAAAGCAGGTAGGAGGGGGTTGAGAGGAGACTCTGGGGTGTCAATATATCCAGACCAAAATATGCGGATTCCGAGCTGATCAGA